CAGTTGTCTTAAGGTCGTGCATTCTTTGGGTTAGGAGCTGCCAATCGGGGAGGTGAGAGATTGAGGTTTAGGTCGATTATCTGACCTGGATGCTGCGTGTAGTTGTGGTCGGAAGAGCTAGCTTCTTCGTCCTCCGCTGCTTGATACATGAACGGATACATGGTGATTGGGGTCAGATACGCGTCTACAATGATTTTTCGTACCAGTCCCCACAGATGGCGCCAAAATGATAGTACTAATACCCACGTGTATATGGTCTACGTACTGAATGAGAACTGATAATAATAATAATAATAAAGGGGTATTTTATTAATGAGAAGGTGACCTAATACAATTTAAATGGCTATCCCGATGGCCGATTGACTGCGGTCAGGCAGCTCTGTAAATAGCCTATTGATCGTCCAAAAGTCCTCCTCACTATAGCCGCCGTGGATATTTATAGCTGTTAGCCAAGAACAACTCTCCGGGCTACCGGCATGTAATCCACGTAGCCTCCACGTGCCCAAACCTGGTGAGCACTCCATGTTAACGCCTATTGTCGCCACGTGCCCCTCTCTAAAGATACGGCCTCCCCGTAGAGCAAAGGTACGGCGTTCGGGAAAAACAGCGCTCGAGTCCAACCGTCCTCAAGCAGGGACGCAACATAGATTCACTCGGATGACCGATACCGACCAGAAGCCTATAACGATGCTCGGGTCAATGTGACACCCCGAAATCTGAATTTGATTAAGGGATTAATTAAGTAATTAATCCTATTTCAATTGGTAATTTAATTCCTAAAAATCCTGAAAATTCAATAGTCGGGGACTAGTACGTAATTGACAAATGACAAGTCAACCCCAAAGTCAAAGTTGTACCTTAAGCTTTGTAAGGAGTTCCCTTGTTCCCTTACACCTCTTCATGTTAGTAAGGGTATTCTTGACTTTTCACCTTGTGTTAGTATTGTAAGCTAACCTAGTAGAACACCCTCATTTCTCTCCTTACACTTTCCAAATTCTAGCTCTACCTTCTCTCTAAAAAGGTAGATAGCTTTTTTTCCAAGCCAAGTTGAAGCTTTGTCAAAACTTCAAGAATTGTCTCCAAGATTCTACCTTTCATACATTTGAGCATCTAGGAGGGTAAGATCTATGTTCATCTTGTGTTTTTAGTGTTTTCTAAGGTGTCTTTTCCTAAAGATAGAATCTTTATAATCTTTTGGTGTGTTCTTGAAGTGGGTTTGGAAGGTGAGCTTTGTTAGGAGCTTGGTGAGGTGTTAAGAGAAGGTTTTTGTCTTCAAGTGGTAACTCATGCTCTACAAAATCTATTTTGCTTACCTATGTGATGATTTCTTGGATTCTACATGTCTTTTGCTATGAAATGTGAGTGTTTATGCATTGTCTTGTGAAAATGCATATCTAGAGCTTGTGTTTAGGGTTCATTTATGCCATTGCTTGGCTATTCCTTTGATTCAAGTCATTTTGTTGTATTTGGTGAGATTTGGCATGTTTGGACTTGAATTTGAGCTTGGAGTTGAAAATCCCCGAAGGGATTATTTGTGCAGATATACGTACCCGTGGGCGGAACGACGGGTAGAGGTCCAACCCACCGCCCACCCGCGGGGTATAAGAGGCCGGTGGGTATGTACCCGCGCGCAGAACCACGGGTAGGGGCCTACCCGTGGGTCCACCCGCGAGGTACACCTTGGTGTGTATTCGGGATTTGTTTCCCGTGATTCTTTTGACTCGGTATTTGGTCTTTTGACTTCCCGATGTTCTTTTGTGGAACTATTTGAGCGTCTTCTTGATGTTTCGTATGTCTAGAACTATATGGTAGGAATCCATGTAGGTTTTGGTGTCTTGAATCGTGCTAAGTGTTCAACATCGTGTTTCGTTGAACAGTGATGGGTCTTGTGTGTTCTTCGGAACTACGTTTGGTTTATCCGTTTGGTAAGCATGCGAGTTCGGTTTTTAAATGCTAGCGCGTGTGTTGTTTGTACCTTCTAATTGTTGATGATAACTTGTGTTATTCACCGTTGTTGTTGGACTGTGATCCATTCATTAATTGAGTATGGTTTCATATCTTCGTTGTGATCCGTTGAATGATTCCTGTTGAGGTGTGATGTGTGTGTGGCTTTACCTGGATTGCACGATTAGTGGTATGGGACACTAGTCACCAAGGTATTGCAGTGGTCCTCGTGGTGGCCATGACGTGATTATGGAGTTGTGACCTGTGTGTCAGGTTCACGTATTTCTTGGGAGGCGTGTGTCGCTGTGTGTGTGATCGGTACCCTCGTGTACTATGAATTGGTGGTCTTGTTGGTGGTTTGTTGGTGGGGGACGACGGTCCCAGGAGGGAAAAGGTTGGACTAAGAAGTACAGGGGTCCTGGAGGTAACGGTTGGAACTAGATATAAGGTTGGGGTAGCCATAAGGTTGGAACCGGGCATAAGGAAGGCATATCAACTCGTGATGGGTGATGTCATGAGGGCTTGTGTAGCCGTTGTCATGAGTTCTCTTCTTGTGACGTGTGTAGTCACAAAGACATGTGTTGCCTTGGCATGTGTTGCCCTTGGGTGTGTCCTATTTCCTTTGAGTTGTGCACGTCGGGTGTTAATCTATTGTGTGATGATAGATTATGCCTTGAGACTTCTTGTGAGTCGTCGTTGTTCTTTGTGGTCTTGGGATGTGTTCCCGTGTTCTTGTTGAGAGTGTTTGAGTCTTGTGTTGACTACTTCTCTTGATTTTGAACTTATATATATGTATCCCGTTTCGAAAATGGCTTTACAAACTTATATCTTATCTATGTATGATATTTCACATGTATTGGTGGGTTACCAGCATTATTCGCTGACCGAGCGTCATCCCATGTTTTATGTGTTTTTTTTCAGGTGATGTTTAGACGAGTGCGCGGTTTAGTGCCAACTAGTGTAGCTCCTCCCTTATGTTTTGTGGCCTGTGAGCCAGTTTAGACTTAGTATTTTGAGATATTGGTTTTAGATTTTGAACAATGCAGATGTTGCCTGTGCGTTCACCCATGGGTGAGCGTGGCATAACACCCCTTACTTCCAGTTTATATATATATATATATATATATATATATATATATATATATATATATATATATATATATATATATCTTTCAGTCTTCCGCTGTGTTTGATGTTTTGGTTTAGATATCTGCATGTTTAAGGCTTTAAATAGTATGGAATTTAGCTCACACACAATCAGTACGGAGAACATTTTAGGGCGGTCGGGATATATCCTACCAGCCACAAAGTAGAAAAGGAGCTGATAGTTTTGAATCGATCTTAATTTATTTCTTTAATTTCTTTAATTTTCGTTTTATCATAAGATCAGATCAATGTGTATTCGAAAAGTGTATTTATATGAATAATTAATGCGTTGAACCTCTACAATGCTAATTATTCGGAACAACTTCCCACAACTTGGGGAAACCAAAAAGGTTGCTAATTATAGCTTTAGTATTCCATTCAAATACAAAAAACATTTATTTCTTAGATTCTAGTAGCAAATAAATCTGAATAATTCAACTGCAATATTCACATTGACAAAACGACAAAGTTTTGACTGGGCTGGAAATTGAAGCCATGTGATTGGCTGAAATCTTATGGCTTTAATATATAGTAGGAAAATGTGCTGATAGTTTTGAATTGATTTGAATCGATCTTAATTTATTTCTTTAATTTTCGTTTTATCATAAGATCATATCAATGTGTATTCGAAAAGTGTATGTATATGAATAATTAATGCGTTGAACCTCTACCATGCTAATTATTCGGAACAACTTCCCACAACTTGGGGAAACCAAAAAAGGTTGCTAATTATAGTTTTAGTATTCCATTCAAATACAAACATATTTATTTCTTAGATTCTAGTAGCAAATAAATCTGAATAATTCAACTGCAATATTCACATTGACAAAATGACATAGTTTTGACTGGGTGGGAAATTGAAACCATGTGATTGGCTGAAATCTTATGGCTTTAATATATAGTAGGATAGGATATGATATGAGTTTAAATTGAGTTTATAATAATAACAAAAGTAGTAATAATATCATTAAATGTCATATGTTCGTCTTAGATAGACTTTTGGGTTCAAATAATAATTAAAATTTGGAGTTGAAAATTTTAAAGAAATTTTATTTGGATTTTTGGAATTAAAATAATTTATTGAAAATCATAAATATTAGAATATTTGTAGGTGTCAAAAAAAAAAAAAAAATTCTCGTAGGAATATTTTTACGAAAGTAGTACTAGTAAAAATTTTCGGGTATTACATATTCCCCTTGTAGCTCATTGTTCATGGGAATACAAGTTCTTACCAAACAAATGAATAGACATATTATTGTGAATGATATTCTATTCCAGGCCTATTCCGCGAACCAAACATGCCGTGATGCCATGTTTGTTTCGCTAGAAAATGTTTTCCTTTACTTTAAGGAAAACTAGTTTTTCCTTTGTTTGGTTCATGGAAAACATTTTCCATTGAAAAACACTTTCCTCAATAATGAGGAACACATTTTTCATGACCCTTGGTATTTTGTTTTCCATAGGAATTAAGAAATAAGTAGGACAATTATGCCCTCACTAACTTTTTCTTAATTACCATTATTATTATTGTTGTTATATATTATATTATTGTGTAGAGTATAATTATCTTTATATTCATTATTCTTTACAATTCCTAACTCAACCAACCAATGTAATCAATATTCTAGTAATTTATCTTTCACCAACTAAACAATAATTAATCTTCGGAATAATTTTTTTTCCATAAAACTTCAATTCAATTTCCTCTCAAATATTTTCCTCGAGTAAACAATTTATATTTTTACCAGATGCAGCTACAAATTTCAATCAAAACATAAATAATATATAGATAATTCATATTTCATAGGGAGTTAAAATTTGTAGTAAATATTTTTTGAAGCTTTGTTTTAGCCTTGGTGCTTTACCGTGTTGCTTCTGCGTACGGCGGCCTAATCAAACAAAAATTTCTTTCCCAAATTTCCACTAATCGAACCCCCTTTATCTTTTCATGTCTTTATATACGGGCTCGATGTGCAAAGATCATACTCTCACTTTGCTAGATTTCCAAATTCGTCGCCTGAATTTTCCATTTCTTCCTTCTTTGCCTTCTCCTCCGATCATCTAACGCTGTATCCGACCTGTATTCACCATCCTAATTACGATTTTTCTAAACCCTAATTCCATCTCAAAACCCTAGGTTTTGAATCCGATTCAAACTCTCTCGTCTTTCCAATCCATTAAATCCTACCCCCACCCCCAATTCGACCGAACCATCACCTCCAAACCCCCATACATGGGCACTCTTCGGGTTCGTTTGGATCCTCAACAACCGGAAGCGTCTTCGTCTGCTCAATCCACCACCACTACATCCACCTGCAGGACGGAGACAATAAATGGGTCGCACGATTTCAAGATTAAAGGCTATTCGCTGTCGAAAGGCATGGGTATTGGGAAATACGTCGCCTCCGAGACGTTCACCGTCGGCGTGTATGATTGGGCGATTTATTTTTACCCCGATGGTAAGAGTGCGGAGGATAATGCTACTTATGTGTCGCTTTTCATTGCTTTGGCAAGTGATGCGACTGATGTCCGGGCGCTGTTTGAGTTGACTCTGTTGGATCAGAGTGGCAACGGGATGCATAAGGTTCATTCTCATTTTAGGAGGGTCCTGGAGACTGGGCCATATACCCTCAAGTATCGTGGTAGCATGTGGTAAGTTATCACATACTCTTCATTTTTATATATTTATTTATTTTTTTTTAATTTTTTTGCCTCTTCTAACTTCAGGTTTGTGCCTTGCGTAATTGTATAGAATTGAACGTACACCATAGAACTCACATACAGCTTGGTACATCCTCATCCTAGCTTGAGTTCCTCATGTTGTTTGACCTTCTCTTGTTATATGTTTAGCTAGCTTGAGTTCAGCTGTTATACACCTAAGAAAGTCCTTGCTAGATTTGTTCTTTCTGTATTTCTGTTTATGCTTTTGTAAAAGAAATTCTTCTCAGAATGCATTTCAAAGGGTTTAAGACAAATTTAAAATTCTTGTAACCACTTGAAACAAGCATATGGTATATATTTGAGATATGGTGTTTACATAATAGTATAATTTTACATGGAGAAATCAACAGTGTATTTATTGTCCAATTTTTGAGATTGTGTGATTATGCTCTTTCCTATGTCAATCTATGATCACAATCAATGATTTGTAAGCATTGTGCAGTTTGTCATAGAAGGGATGAATGAATAGGTTGGATATCTGATGCAGACAGAACAAGGAGACAATAAAGATAAAAACAGGAGGGAAAAATTATTTTAGTCCCCCAATTATATGCCATTAGTCATTTTTTCCCCTCGGCACATGTGTGCAAATGTCAGCCCTAACTCTGTAAAATTGTTTCAAATTCGGTCCTAGGTGAATGGAACCCTCAAATGACATTAGGTTTCTGTCATTTAAGAAATTTCATTTCTTTCTTCCTATTTTTTCCTCCCACTTTATTTACCTATATCTTGTTTATGTCATTATTAGATAACAGATTGCTGAAGCTCTCATTCCCAAATTGAAAAACCTAATCATAATAAAACGTCCTCATAGCCGTTGCAACACGTTTCCATCCTTTGTTTCAAGACATACATTCTCATCGTGAGAGATAGAAAGTGATTGACATTGAATTTTGCAAGGGAAAACAAGAAGACCTGTTTAATGATCTTTTGTTTAACTTCATTTCATAGGGAAGGAATTCTTTTGACTTTGAGGTGCCACCAGATTCTAATTTCTGTAAAATAGCGTTGAATCTTGATTACTGACATAAATCTAATCTTGATACTGAAATGGGGGTAAATTTGCCAGAAACTGGCATTTGAGCAAGAGATCTGTACACAAATTCAAGGGCCGAGAATTTGAAATTAGCAGCACCACTGCTTGCACTACTACTAGTACCCAACTTATTCTTTGTTTAGTAGCAGCTGAAACATCTTTCTCAGGGTGCAACTGTGCCATGACATTTGTTTGTTTTTCAGATAAAATCTGATTGGAGTTTTTTGATTGTTTTCTTAGAGGATATGTTTCCAAGATTTGTTTTCAGTGATTTCTTGATTCTTGATTGTACAGCAAGATTTTATCTTTCTTGGTTTGCCCATGAATTCCTTCTATATTAGGTTTCAATTTTGGAATGAGGTCTGTGGCAATGTGTTCTCCAATAATAGCAGATGTGAGAGAGGGAAGTAAGGAAGTTGAGATAAGAAAATTGGAAGAATGAAATGAAGTTGCTTAACTATGCAAAACTCTTGGCACTGTTTGAGGGTCCATTCACCAGGGGACTGAATTTGCAACAATTTTATAATTTAGGGTGTGATATTTGTGCACATTTAACAGTGAGGGACCAAAACTAGTGACATAATTTCCAAAATGTCTTTTTCCCTAACAGGAGGATGAAGAAGGGAAGAGAGGTAGAATGCTAGGATGTGGAGAAAGAGTTCCAATATCTTTAATATTTATAAATTGTTCCATTGCTGGAGAATATCCTGCCACAAAACCTTAATATAAATAAATCAGATAATATGACGTTGCAAAAACAAAACAGTGCAATTAATAGCAAATTACTGAAAAAAAGCTGCTCCACTGCTTATACATGAACAATCTCAAATGAACATTAATGCACTATATTTTCTATGTGCACTGTCAAAGTAGTTTATTTCTGCTTCTACACAATAAATAACATTTTTGTTTGAAATGACATTTCCCTTGCAGGGGTTATAAGCGCTTTTACAGAAGAACACAGTTAGAAACTTCAGAATTCCTCAAAGATGACTGTCTCTTGATCCAATGTACTGTTGGTGTTGTCAGAACATATATAGAAGCACCAAAGATTTACTCCATACCAGTGCCGGCATCTAACATTGGTTTGCAGTTTGGGAAGGTCTTAGAAAGTGGAGAGGGAAGTGATATAAATTTTGAAGTAGAGGGTGAAGTATTCCCTGCTCACAAGTTGGTGCTTGCTGCACGTTCCCCTGTTTTTAGGGCACAGCTTTTTGGTCCATTGAAGGAACAGAACACTCAGTATATTAAAATTGAAGAAATGCAGGCTCCTGTTTTCAAGGTTTGGAATTCCTCTCTGCCTATATGCCTTTTTGTCTCGAGTAAGGATTTAGGATGACAGAGAAACTTCTGTTTTTGCATGGCACCTTTTCCCCTCATTTTCTCATGTGTATATGTACATTAGTATGTGTTAGTGTAGTTCCAATTAGTTGCATGCTTTGGTACTTGGTTGAGGTTTCATTGATTAGATCTTGATCCATTATTTTTAAGGAGATATTTGACTCTGTTTTTGCAGTGCTCCCATGCATGTTTACTATGTTCATGTATTATTATGCATAAACCCTTCAATAATTCTTTATTTTCAAATGGGCTGAGCTTTGGAATTTAATTCCTTTACTGGGTCTTTTGCAGGCATTGCTTCACTTCATATATTGGGATATGCTACCTGATTTACAAGATCTTGTGGGTCTTGATACAACATGGGCAGTCACACTGATGGCTCAACATTTGCTTGCTGCGGCAGACAGATATGGACTTGAAAGGTTGAGAGTGCTGTGTGAATCTAAACTTATTGCGGATGTTGCCATCAATACAGTAGCTACAACACTGGCTTTGGCTGATCAGCATCAATGTGTCCAACTGAAATCTGTTTGCCTGAAATTCATTGCTTCACCTGAAAATTTGAAAGGTACAACTATTATATTCCTTGCCTTCTTCATGAAAAGCCTTGGTGTGTTTCAGGAATAAAAATAAAATAAAATTAATGACTTCTCTTAGCTATCAATTGGTATAATTTAAAGCCCACACATTCCTTCATTTCATTGCTGACATTTACTTCAAATGCAATAAACATGACTAACAAGTGTGATGAACAGTTCCTCAGGGGCTAACAATATGATTTGCTGTTTTTATGGAATTCTTGTATTCATATTTGTGTCCCTTATGCACAAATATTTGCTTATGACTGAGAATATTGGGTTTTTCTCAGCTGTGATGGAAACAGATGGATTTAATCACCTAAAAGAAAGCTGTCCTTCTGTTTTAACTGAACTGCTTGATTATGTGGCTAAGATGGGTTTACACCCAGCAACTTGCTATGATCATGGTGGAATTGCACTTGATGGTAGTGATGCAAATGGAAGAAGAGTGAAGCAGAGGTTATACTGATGGGTGTATTGGACGGAGATAGTGTTTACTATTCTTGTATGCTAGTATTTTTTGACAGTCACCGATTGGTATAGAAATACATTGTAATAGCTCATTTATTTCTGAGCAGGTATATATCCTGAATGAACACTTTTTTCCATTCAGTCTTTCTTCTTTTCCGATCTGAGATTTCAATTTGTGTGCCGTGTATTTTATGAACTGATTAGAAGTTTCATGGCTGCTCATGCAGGCTGATAAAGGATGTGTTTTATGTAAATCTTATTTTTTCATGTATGATGTGATGTGTTTTTTTTTTTTTTTTTTGAAGAGCAAACACTAAATTTTATTACAAAAGAACATTACAAAGAAAAGGAGGATGGTGGGAAAACCACTCCTTGTAAGCTAATTTAGAAACGGACTCTCGAGCTAGAGAATGAGCTGTTCGATTTGCAGATCACTTGTCAAAGGAGATAGACACATTAAAAAATTAACTAAGTCTATCTTTGATATCTAACAAGATCAAATTCAAAAGAGTAAATTCCCAAACTAGAATATAAGCTCTACACCATATATAAGGATTAATGAATTTTTAGCCATGAGAGAGCTTCTCGAATAGCTACTGCCTCCGCCTCCTTTGGTAAGAAAGCAGCACCCCTACAAGATGTGCATTTGGCTCCTTTGAAAAGCCCTTGATCATCTCTTAAGGATCCACCCAAAACCCATCTTGCCTCCATTAACATCAAGAGCAACATCAACATTAAGTTTGGTCCATCCAAATTGGGGTTTTTGCTATTTGACAGTGAATCCTCCACGGCCAGATGCAGTTGTGTTCTCCCTTTCAGTGAGTTTCCTCCACTCTTCCAGGTAAGCAGAGGTTCTCTCAATGATATGCAAAGTAGAAGTAGAAACCCTCCAGACTTTATCATTCCTGCTATGCCAAATATTCCAACATAACATAATTAAAAGAGAGAGATCGTCCTTGTGAAGGGCAATTATATTATCATGAATCCAGTCAGCAAAGGATGAATATCCTTCAGGATTGAACACTCTATTCATTCTGGACCAGAACTCCTTTGTCTTTTTGCGGGTGACTAAAATATGATATGATGTTAAACAATACAATACATCAAGACTCCACTCTTCAATTCAATTGGTTTTTGGGCAGCTTTTGTATGTCAAGCTAAACTTATTCTCAATGCCACTTTTTGAAGTGTGGGCTTCATCTGTTTAGTTGTATCTGAATATAACTACTAAGAGCAACACCATTAAGGGTTTCTATGACATGCATGGAGGAGAGGGTATAATGTGGAGGAGAGATGAGAAAGATGAAAATAAATTTGCATTAATTGGTTCTTTGTGAGTCTCACGAATTTGTTTGTTTATTTGTATTTTTTTTTTAACAAAAAATAAATAAATTAATACAAATTTTTGAAAAACCCAACAAATGGCCGGAAATTTTTGCAATGGTGGAATTTGTTTGTTTGGAAACTCATTTGTTGGGTTTAACTTATTTTCTCTCACCTCTTCGGCTCTTCCTCCATGTGGTTCTGACAAAAATCAATGAAAGAACTCAACAAATGAGTTTGCTCTAAGAGTAGTAGAGTACTAGTGTAGAAAGATGAACTTCCACCATTGTGGAAATTTACGGTCATGATTAGACCTAGAAGAAGTGAACTCATGTTCAAGTTTTGTTTATCTTATGGTTTTCCTATATTATACCTACTCTATTTCTTCATATACATATATAATTAAATGAGAACAAGTTCATTTAGAGAAAATGTGAACTGATTTATCCATTTTGGATGATCTGACAAACAAGATTAAAAAAACGCGATGACAAGTTTGGATACCCTAATAACTAAGAACATACTCAAGATAGATATACTAATAACTAAGAGCATACTCAAGATGTATAATGCACTTATGTTTGTTTACATGTGAGGTGCAACAAACTTTAGTGTTCAATTGCTACATTTTGTGTGCACTATCAGTTATCAATCAGTGTACTATCAAGTTTAATCTAGTGAATATCCAGAACTTGTAATATTTATAAAAATATCATTGTGTTTTTTCTAAGTTTTAACTTTGTCTATCACATTGATGGTTTTATCATGACCGGGTCCACCATAAATTGGTTAAAGAGAATATAGAACTGGGGTAGGAAGTAATATTATTACTCAGGGCGTGAGGCCCGAAAGAATATGTACAAAGCCCAAAATATCGGCCTAAAACGGCAGCCCAAAGAATAAATAAATAATTGAAAGACTAATAAATAAATAGAATAAAATAACATAATGGGTTACCACCAAGACTCAAACTCAAGCGTACCATCAGGGAGGAGAAGACCCAGACCACCTAACTACAGAGGAAATCATGTCTTGAGAGATGTCTTGCAAAGACCAGACCACCTCCTTTTATACTACAGGCCATCCAACCTGGTCCACCCACGTGTATGCCATCCAAAGGCCGTCACTCCCCGCCAGACACGCGTCCCACATGGTCATTTCCGTTAACCACCTCAATTGCCCAACTAGCCACCAACATGCCACATGCCTAAGTAACACAGAGAACCTACCTACTAGGCGACTGCGCACCCGTGCGTGCCAGGCTGGCGACACGACCAACTACCACCCCGGGCGACCGGGCACGACGCCTGGGGGCGTGACTCATACAATTCACATTATTTTTACTGACTCATACATATAGTGATGCACATACAGTTCGAAAATTCATCACACACTGTCTCTTAAACTATGATAATCAATTTTGGAGGTTTACCATTCACATTATTTTTACTGACTCATACATATAGTGATGCACATACAGTTCGAAAATTCATCACACATTGTCTCTTAAACTATGATAATCAATTTTGGAGGTTTACCTGGTATTGGAGGCGACATAAACCCCAAATTTGCATCAATGGCTTCCTTCAGTTGTTGTGCTATGTCGGAGAATAACTGCTATTTTTTTTTTTTTTTTTTTTTTTTGGTTTCTAATTTGTTAGTTTTAATCCTACTATAATTACTCTTCATTAATTTTTTTTTGAATGCTACTGGTTCTATTACAATGTAGTATCGTACATGCTCGAACTTATAATCTTCCAAATGGAAGTCCAACCCGGGTACCATTAGACCACATAGTCCTGGTACTCTTCATTAATTTATGATACTATCATATTAATATTTTTACTCTAATTTGGATACAATGTAATTGTCATAATTGCCCTTTTAATCATTAATTAGTATGCTGGTGTAATTTTTTTCTCATCAATCTAAGCCATTAATCTACTCTAATCTTATGGCCCATATTTGTCCACAGGTTTATATTTTAAGAAGGTTTGCATGTGAATGCAACTATATATATATATATATATATATATATATATATATATATATATATATATATATATATATATGTACGTATGTATGTATGTATGTATGTGTGTGTGTCTCCCCCCCCCCCCACACACACACGCACACACACACACACACACACACACACACTATATATATATATATATATATATATATATATATATATATATATATATATATATATATATATATATATATACCCACACACGTGCACTATTTTTTCTTTTTTAGTAAGTCGCATAGCGCCTAGCGCATACTACAACCATGGTTTCTACCACCCGTTGTTGGCAGCATGGTCATCATTCTTGAATACTCTTGCTAGTAAGATGATTTTAAGCAGTGTTGTAAAACTCAGCCTAGGCGGCCGCCTCAGCGCTAGGCGGCGCCATGCCGTGTCGTTTTTTATTGTAGTCGGCCATTACTCGGCCGGCTGCCTAGGCGGCCAACTTGGCCAAAATCGGTCAACTCGGTCGAGTCGGCCGATTTTGACCGATTTCGTCCGATGCCATCTTTCATTAATTATTGATTTTAATATTATTATGATGTTATGGCTTATAAATTATCATTATTTCAATTACTTGGATGTGTTATTTGATTGAATGTTAAAAATGGCCTCATTAAAATTGTCAAACTACAAGTCTGTCACTATTTTTTTTTTAAATTTTTTTGATGCCCGCCTAGGCGCTTGGCGCTGCCTGGGTGCCCGACTAGCGCCTAGCGCCTACTGCAACCATGTTTTTAAGTAAACATCAGTTTCACCATTTGACCTGGGAGTGTTTTAAGAAGTAGGATGTTGATCTTGTAGCCTTGTAGGGTAGTTGAAGTGCCACTTGATCCTCACATGAAATGAGTTTGACTTTCACATGATGTTAAAAATCATGTGTTCCTAGTTTCTACCCATTCTATCATTTCCCTTTACACAATCAAACCCGAGATATGCCAAAATGGTCGAGTCACAAAACAAGCATTCCTGAAACCTACAAGAACACCTTAGCAGGCAAGGCGAGGGTCAGCCCGATTCTCAAGGGTAAGTTCTCCACCCAGGAAACATGAGAGGTCTGATTGACACTATAGCCATTGGAGGAGGCACTACCATTGGCAAAAGACGAACGATTTTCGTAGTCGGTCACTAACCCGAACACTCAAGCAAATCACCCCCTTACCCAGCTCAACACTCCACGAGTTGAAATGAGCGCACCACTAAGGAGGGTGTAACACCTCACTTTTCTTAAACTTAATTACAATTCTAAAACCAACATTAAAATAAACTAAGCAGCGAATAAACAACTTAATAAATAAACTAGTGGGAATGTCACCGCCACAACCACCACTCCATGGTGATTGCACAGGCTAAAGATGGAACTAAATCAATAAACCAAACTAACATTCATATTACTTAATTAAGAGTCATTTGGGAGAAAAACACCCCGATGTCTAATCATCAAACTTGCACATCATAAGTCTACAAATCCATCAAAATAAACATCATGATAATAATACTAAGAGTTTAGACTGCTAGATATACTAAGCTAGTCTAACTCGATCATCTCTCAAACGTTGGGCCCACTTGAAAAGGGGTTTTACAAAACAACACATAGACAAGTAGTAAAACACACGTTAGCACGAAGCTAAGTATAACCACACTCAACCCTGTAAAGTACTATAGTATATACTTTGGAAAAACATTTGTTCACAAACTAAATCAAGCAATCTCAACACTTAGATAACTTTAGATACATCATAGACTTTCTATATGCTTGCAACCTATAATAGCAACATGCATGCTTTAAATATAAATAACTCAAAAACGTAAATATTCCAACACATAATTCTCATAACAAAACTCATCATAACGAACTCATGCTTACAAGCAATTGC